ATTCTCTAAGGGTTGAGATGAAAAATAGGAAAGCTGTAATTGTTTGAAGAATACATGAATGAATGGTTGTTCTATCAATCATCTGCTTTAAAAATTCCTGAAGTTAGTAGTGTAGTGTGATGGCATGCAATCTAGTTCATTCATAGTAGTGATGTTACTGAAATTCATGTTGCTTTTCATTCCATTGAAGACTCGTAGCTTGTTAGTTTGGTAGAATGCTCGAGAAATTGTGTACATGGACTGTTGGACTCATATATATTCTATTTGGTAGTGGTAGCTTTAGTATAGTTTAATTTCAGTATAGTGTTAGATTTGAAATATTGTATAAGTCGGAAAATGATTTTAGGACCAATGTGTGTGTGCTGACACCGGTGTTAATTATACACCTAATAGATGTTTGAAACAGTTCAGTATTTCAGTGTTTGACTCCCATAGTCTTAGTTTTGAGGGCATTGGACTAGAGCTTTGAATATGCAACAAATGAAAAAAAAATATCCAATCGTTCTTTAGTTTTTAACCTGTTAATTAATATAGTTTGTCTATTTATTTACAATTTAAAAGTAAAGCGAAAAGAGCTAGCCTTATTTTGTTAAGTTTTGGGCCTGAAGGGACTTGATCTTGAGTCCCAGCTTCAATTTTACTTCAAATTGGGCTCATCCTTGGGCCCAAAGTGCTAAAAGACTGGGTCCAACGTTGACCCAGCTGCATAACAAGCAAGCCCAAATATTATGGAGACTTGTGTTAGCCCACAGAAATTCAATACTGAGTCCCCTGTTTAAGCCGCTGAAGTTGGACTCAATTTTAAGCCCAAAACTGGGTAAGCTTCAATATGAACTGTATTGTTTTTTTTTCTGGGCCAATCGTTCAGACCCAAAATCGCTGGAAGCTAAAATCCATTAAAATTACATTAGGAACATGGGAATCAATTTGCAAATATAGATTTAGGTTCTCGCGTTAAGTGGTGGACTCAAATTAAGAGGGTTCTCCCTTTTGTTTGAATTCGGACTTGAATTCGAGGCCCGGATTTATAATTGTAAATTAATTATGCCCTTTTTGAGACAAAAATAAATAGGAAATCTTAGTTTACTGTAGGATTGGCCTTTAAATAAAAGTGGGACGAGCCTCGCCGAATAAAAAATGCATAAATTGCGGTGCCCTCATTAAATGCTTTATCAAAAATATTTTAGAAGTTCGGGACATGCCATTTAGCGAATTTTCATGGCTTCCCGCCAAGTTAATAAGACGTTAGCCACTTTAGGCGCGCTTTTAATAAATTTTACTTTCCTAAACTCGGGTGCGCATTTCATGCAACCCAAATCCAAATCCCAAAACGTTGAATAAGAGGTGTTGAGGATCCGTGTGCATTTCATGTGACGTGATCCAAAAACGCGCTCTTAAACGGCGTTTGCTTTTCGTAAAAATAACTAAATAATCCTAAAAATTGCACTATAGGTTTGAACATGTATAAAATCAGATTTTAGCCATTTATGATAATTTAAGCGACCGTGCTAGAACCACGGGATCCGGGGGTGCCTAACACCTTCCTTCGGGTCAACAGAATTCCTTACACAGAATTTCTGGTTCGCAGACTCCAATTGGGAAGTCGAAATATTCCTCGATCTGGGATTTAAATTAAATCGGTGACTTGGGACACCAAAAGCCCGTCCTATCCCAAGTGGCGACTCTAAAAATTAAATAAATAATCCCATTTCGAATAATGTCACTTTAAATGGAAAAACTCCCTTATACACTTATCCTTCGGGTTAGGTGCGTAAAAAGGAGGTGTGACAGCTCTGGCGACTCTGCTGGGGATCCGAACCCAGAATTTCGATTCAGGGTTCAAGAATTCGAGCTTAGTACAATTGTTATATTTGGCTTTACCTGATTTTCTACATGTTCCATGCTATATGTGCTAAATGTTTTACCGCTTTGATATTTGTTGAAATTGTATATATAAACTGTCACGAATCCCTTCCTCTTGCTGAGTCTTCTACATCATGGAGAAGGGTGCACTTCGTGTAGCTTCTCTTCTGTTTAGAGTCTTTTCCCATTTAGAACGAGGTTGGATAAGTTGCAAAGCCGGCGGAGCTTCTGTATCCCCGGTACGCTGCCTCCCCCTCGGCCCGAGTTGTCCGCTCGGGTAAGCCAGGTCTAGACCAATAAACCTAGGGTTAAACCTAGAAGAACAAAAACTCATGCCGGATCCCTAGTAGGACGTTTGTTTGCATCATGTGCATTTGACTTAGGGGACTCAACACAGGGGTTGGGTCCGTCTAGGACAGGTGACCTGAAATGAATTGACCATCCTGATGCATCTTACGTGCTACTTGCGCATTTATTTGCTCGGCTTTGCATGTTGACTGGCATGTCTAAATAAGTGAAAATTGAGGAAATAGGCAGTGTTAGGACTAAGTGAGGGTGACCATTTGTTTTGAAAACCCCAATGCCCAAATAGTACCGAAATGCTGCCGGAAAAATGAAAAAAAAAAAGAAAAAGAAAATATTCGAAAAAAAGGAAGGAAGAAAATTGTTGTTCAAAAATACATTTTTTGATTTTGGCAAATCTGCCCGAACTACGCCGGTTTGATTCTCGCCGGATGTGAGATACGTAGGCAACCCTCATCGGGCCCAACCGCCCTTTTTGCAAAGATAGCCAAAATACCAAAAATTTAATTTTTGTCAAATACATTGGGTGATGCCACTCTTGTTTTACAAAATAAGCCGAATGTCCCCAAAAGGACGCCGGAAGGCCGTTTTTGCAAGAATGGCCACCCTGAGTCATTTTCAAATGGTTTGCAGGAACAGCGTTAAAATCTTCCTTCCAGAAGTGCTGAAAGGCCGTATTTGCAAATCCAAGTCCTTATTTTCTAAGTAAAGAATTTTTGCATAAATAGCCATTTTTCAAAATAAGTCATTAAATTCCCCTAAAATAAATATGCAGGATGAATTCAAGTGACATCGAAACCTTCTCAGTCCTGAGCGAGATCCCTTTGAAACTCCATATGTGGTGGCATGACTTGGGAAAAGGAAGCAGAGATACTGTGATCAAAAGCCTGGGCGGTCTCGTAGATTTATTAAAAATCAAGCCAAGAACAGATATCATTGAGGCACTAATACCATTTTGGGACCCGACCCGTAATGTGTTTCGGTTTTCAGATTTTGAGCTCACGCCTACATTAGAAGAGATCGCCGGATACGCAGGTCTAAATGGGAACCTCCGTGGTAGATTCCCTTTGGCTCCACGGCCGGTAACTCTTCACAGGTTTTTAGATTTGTTGAACATTAGTCGGGATATTCAAGACCCACATTTGGCGGAAGGGTGCTGTACACTACATTTCTTGTATCACCGGTATGGTAACCCCAAAGGCATTGAGGAACCCAATACAGGATTGACACATGCTGGAAACAAAGACAAATGGGAAGCCCGACGCGGATTAGCCTTCATGGTGGCCTTTTTGGGAGTGTTAGTTTGTCCCAGGAAAGACGGTCACATAGACCTTGGTCTAGTAGGCATGCTAGATGTTGCCATAAAGAAACCTACTAGCACAGTGGCTCCTTTGATTGTAGCAGAAATATATCGAGCTCTGACCAAATGTCGAGAAGGGGAGAAATTCTTTCAAGGCTGCAATGTGCTCTTGCAGTTATGGATACAGGAACATCTCTGTCACCGCACAGGCTACATGAATTACGGTTTAACCGGGTTGAGTTGTATCGCAGAATTCGAGACCCGAGTTACAGGTATTGAGTTCCCGGAGGGTACTGAGGCCTGGTCGTCATGTTTAAGATCCCTCACTGCAGATAAAGTTGATTGGGCTTATGGATGGCTTCCCGCTACTGAAGCTATATACACATCAGCGGAGGTCCCCTATATTCTTTTGATGGGTATGCGAAGCATTCAGCCTTATGCTCCTTACCGAGTCTTGCGACAATTTGGAAGATTTCAGACGGTACACGGTGATGAGGACCTGAGTGGGCAAGTCATTGAGTTGGGCCCAAAAGCTGCATTCCCTGAAGGCCAAATCCGGAAAATCTGGAATGAGTGCAGGTATCTTGAGCCTAAAACTATAGTACAGGACCGGGCCAGAGGTGAAGTAGATCCCAAATATTTGGTTTGGTTTGGTAAAAGGTTTCAAATCCCCGAGAGACCCGCCAAAAGGCCACATGTGCAACAATTAACAAGCGAGGCTCAGGTACAGTGGGATTGGTTGGCTAAAGAAAAGGAGTACAGAGCTCGAATTGGAGCATTGGAAAAACAGGTTCAGGAGCTTCGGTTCGAAAACAGCTTGCAAGCCGCA